CCAAATAAATGGAGACTAAAATCAATAAATGGAGCAGAGAATCAATTTTAGCCCAGTAATTAACTGCCATAGCTATTCAAGGATGCACAATGAGATTTCTACTTATCTGAAATAACAGCAAAGGGCAATAGACCTTGCACTGCAGAACTGTAATAATGAATTAAAACAGAAATCAGCTTTTAAAGAAGTTTACTTAACCAGCAGATAATATCATAGTAAAAACCAGTTTCATTTCCTTTCGGATCATCTGCCCAGGGTCTGATAATTAAAACATTCTTATTTATCTGATGGCAAAATAACGTCTACAAAGTAGTGAACTTACCGTATTATGCTTCCACTGTTCTAGTGCATTGTTCAGATCCATTTCTGAAAACTGCTTCATTTGTTTTAATTACAGTAGCTTTATTCCTTTTGTTTTACAGTTTATATCCCACTTTTCTGCTCATAGGGCACTTAAGGCGGTAGTGAGAAAATAATAAAACATAAGCAGTTAAAACAGCACAAAATCTACCCTAAATCTAGTTCAAACTTAAAATACAATACTTGGCTATTAAGAATCTCATCTGTGATAACTTAAGTTCCCCCACCCCAGCCTTTTCCCAACGGCACACAGCACTGGCATTTAATGATCTATCATCTAAAGTATGTCTTAAGTTCTTACTGTGAGCCCACTCCAGCTTTAAATATGATCCTGAAACCTGAAGACAGAGTTTTCCACCATTCTGTAGTGGCAAAAAGCCAAACAAAGTGCTATAAATTCTAAAACAGACACAACTTAATTACAAATAAAACAAACAAAAACCAAGTATTTTCAAATCTTTCCACTTAATGGGATGTGACTTCTACATGTCTTGATCTCCTCAAAATAGTAAGTGCAGGCCTTGAGTACAAAAAGGTTGCCCACCCATGAAATACTTCTAAGCTCTTTATTTCCACTAGTCTCTTTTAATCTTTCTAAATATTTCATTAGTACACAGAGACATTGGTAGAATCAAACAATGCTATTTTCATTTCACTTCATTTTAATGATAGCTTCTGAGTTAGAAATAAAAGTGAAAAAATAAATAAAAGAATCTAGCAAAATTAGGGGGTGTCATTTAGCTCAGTAAATGTTAGTACATGGTACAGTAAAGATAGTTGAAGGCAGTGATGGGACACAGCCATTTCACACCACTTCGGCAGAACCGGTAGTTAATTTTTTGTTGCCCAGGTCCAGAATGAACTTCTGGAAACAGCATCCACACAGAGAAATGGTTGTTCACATATTTGAATCCCACCACTGGCTGAAGGATAATTCTTCCAGGCACGCGGCCAGAAATGACAATTACTTATAGAAAACCTGGTCCTTTTTACATATTTTACATATACTATCAGATAATTACCAACTAGGTATTTGTAAATATTTTGTAAATGTATTCTGGAAGAAGGCAATGGTATAAACTCATCCATGGTGGCCATGGTATATGTGGAATCTGAGGGATTCATTAGACTTTTTAAAAAAGATTGGGGTGAATTGAGTGGTTGGAACCATTTGGAATCATCATATGGAGTGCAGGGGGCTGAGGGTATAGTACTTACTGGTCCCAATGGAGTCTCACAGCCTCATATACTAACCGCCAGATGCCAAGAGGTGGTTTGGAAAGAGAGTGCAGGCAGAGGCTGACCTGAACATGTGAACTACCGGTAGGCAAACGACAGTGGAGAAAACAGGAGATCTGAAATGCTGGGATCAGTGAAGACAATTGAAGACCAGGACCAGCAATTGAATCTGGATCCTTCCAGCAGGGATCTTTGGGGCTGAATGCAGCTGGATCATCTGGAGGTTGTTAACAACATCAACTGCATTTGAGAGGGGCTTAAGGGTCCCAAGACGGAATGCTGGCTTAGTGAGGATGGTAAGACTGCTGGTGATACTGCTTACACTACTTGTGACATCATAAAGCTGGGCTATTTCCAACTGCACATGCAGCCTGGCTCTGAGGTAGGACATTTGGTTCCCCCCCTCTCTCCCTCCTTCTCCCCATTCTAAGCAATTATCACCATACTTCTAAGTTTATTAGTGTTTAGGAGGGAAAGTAAAGTACCTCCTCACTGAATGTATACCTAATTTCTGGAATTCATCTACAAGGGATTTTATAAACAATAAATATATCAACAGTAATTTAGACCTACAGTTCCACAGACTTTCAATATGCTTGTAGATGAGATGTTATTGATATTGATTATTGGATAATCAAGAAGAAAATAGATTTTTTTTGCCTTAGATCCCTGCATGTCCTAAAAGCAAGTAGTTTGTCACTGTGGAAAAGAGATTGCTGAATCAGATAAACAGATACTCTGAATAAGCCAGTTGGCCTTTCTTTAAATCAGTAATGGCTTAATCTATTACATTTATTGTTTTCAGAGTCATCTTTCTTGTTATTCACACTTTGCGATACACTTTTAACTCTAACATTCCCGATGTGTAACTCTGGAAAACCATTTTTACTCCTTTTCTATATTTACTATAAACATGTTTCTATTACCCAACTTTTCATAATACAAGTTAACTTATATGATAGAAAAATAAAACTCTGTAAGTAATAAAAATTATAATGCAGCTGAGGTCCACTGTTCTTACCAAAAGCCCATCAGAACAGGTGATTTTCAACAAGTTATAAAATGCAAGCATGAAGAGAGCGATCTGTAAGATTGAGGCTGCTACAAAATATACACCTCTGGGCTCTCCCTTAAACTCAAATCAGTGGGAATCTAGAGCAGTCCTTCTGCACTTGATTCTGGTCAGAAGAGGCAACCCTGCCAGCAGAAAAGTCCCAAGCCAGGTAGGGCTTTAAAGATTAAAATCAGCTGCTTGAGTTGGCACCAGAAAATTACTGATAATCAATCTAGCAATGCCAACATAGTTGTAAAACTGCTGAACTCATCTTTTCCTGTCAGCACTCAGGCTGCTCTATTCTGCCCCCAAGTAGAGCTCCCAAGTATTTTTAATGGCATCCCTAAATAAAGAACTATACAGCAGTTTAACTGTGACGTGCTCAGGACATGGATCATTATGGCAAGAGCACTTTCATTCCAAAAGGTCTGCAATTAGAGCATCAGCCAAAGCCTGACAAAAGAATCAAGCATATCTGCAAGTCACAAGTTAAAGATCTGTTAAAGATCTTTAGTCAAAGATCTGCTAAAGATCTGTTCCCAAGTTAAAGATCTGTTCTTTTTTGTGAGAATGCAACCTCATCAAGACCCAATTAAGGGATCTGGATTGAGCTACACCTGTTATTCACAAACAGAAAGGCCATTTTTCGGGGCTGTTAATCTGAGGCTGTTTTGAGCTCACTCCAACCTCTAGACACTGGGTTAGGATTTCCACAACATCAGTGCAAGAAATGCCAATGTATGATTGAGTAGCATCAGTTTACTGGTGATACCTTATCCCAAACTGGTGGATGATCTCTTAAATGGTTTCATGAACCTATTAAAAGCAATGAGAAAAAGAGCCAAGACTTATGGCATCCCATACTGGAGGATTTAATAGCTGGATTGTTTTCTCCCATGCCCATCTATTGATAAATTTCTACTTGTTAGATGAACCACTGCAAAATAGTGCTTTCTATCCAAAACTCAGAGACAACACAAGAGAATATCATAGTCTGTGCAACTGAATGATGCTAAAAGTTCCAATGGGACTATAGAAGTGCATTTTCTCAATCTGTTTTCGATACAGGTCAAAAACGAGGTGAATCAATGATATTTTTGTTCCATGCCTAAGCTTGAACTCTATTAGAAATGATCCAGATAATCAATTTAAAATTCATCTTACTGCTAGCTGAAACTTTACCACCTAGTCCATTTTTTTCAAAATGGTGGGTGAAAAGTTGTCCAATTTAGCTGGATTGAGCGGCTGTCTTTTCAGAAGAGGATAGACTACAACCTCATTTAAAGTAGATCAGGGGTGTCAAACTCAATTTCATTGAGGGCCGCATCAGCATTGTGGTTGTCCTCGGGGGGGCTGGGTAGGTGTGGCCAGGGTGGGTGTGGCCTACTAGGTGGGCATGGCTGGAGTGGGTGTGGCCTACTGGGTGGGCATGGCCAGCTCTACATCGTTTGCATCAAGGGTGCCTGTGGGGGCCTGGGCAGAAGTGGGACAGATCTGAGGGTCTCTGGAAGAAGGGGGTAGGACCAGGGCAAGCACCAAGGCATGGTCCACTGGAAGAGCCTGCCAAAACCCCTCCCCCGGAGCCCATCAAGCTGGATATATGAAGTAGGTGAGGGCCATTTGCTAGCCACTTCCAGGCGATGGTGCATTTCTTCATTCCTCACAAAGGGTGACACCTCCCCAGCATGCACCCAGGGGGCAGGGCCGACACAGCAGGGGCTGGTTCCTCGCTGTTTCCAGACGGCTTTGTGGAGCTAAGACTGAATGCGTTTCAGCATAGATGGCCACCACAAAATTGTACATTGGCTTCCAGCCGCCCTGGGCCAGGGCCAAGGCAGTGGGGGCCATTCCCTTGCTGTTTCCAGGATGGCTTTGCGGGCCACATGAAACCACATCACGGGCCACATCCGGCCCCCAGGCCTTGTGTTTGACATGTCTGAAGTAGATGATCCCTCCCTTTCTGTTGAAGAAAAAAATGATCAACTTCCAAATCTAATCTCCTTCAGCTATTTAAAGAGGTGGAACAGAGATGCATCCTACAAGGAGGTGCTCATGTCACAGAGCTGCCTACCCACTCTTAAATTAAATTAAAGTTACATGATTGAAATTCCTACCCAATTCCATTTGATCTTGCAAGATGTTGCCTGAATGATATCGTAAGACTCTGGTCAAGTCATATCTTAGTCCATGTACTGGAGGTAACTTTATCTTCAAACAATCTCATAAAATTGTCCAAGAAGAAATTCTTTGTACACCCAAAAGCTGTGGATAATCCTAGCTAAACTCACTTGATACTCATCTGAAGATAATAAAAATATCTGCAATAAAAAAAATATAAATGCTTTGCCATTCTTTTCCTCAGAGGATACTCTTGGACATAAGTATGCTACCATATTTACTTCCATTTATTCACTATTTTTCACTATCGTTGTTCTAGATGTTTCTTGAGCAGCTTCAATCCCCCAAGAATCTGAAGTCCAAGAGAGGTTGCCTGGGGACTATCTCATCTAGAGTTCAAGTCACTGCAGAGTTCCAGAGACTTAGATGGGGTATGTAACTATGTGATAATTGAGAAAGATCACCACTGGTCTTAAGAATCTGTCCAAATTGATTAGGCATTTAGATAGGACTACTTTAATTGGCCCATCATTCCTACAAATGTCAAACAAGGCCACAAAAATATATGTGTACCATAGCAAAGCACTAATGTCTACTAACTTAAGATCACAGCTCCACAACTCTGAGATACACATTAGATCTAGATGTGACCTCTCATATGGATCAGGCCAGAGATGAGCTTGAACAAGGCCATGGTCACCATGGAAGCCATAAACTTCCAAGCATGGAGATTTAAGCCACCCAGCATTCAAAGGCCAAGCAATCCTAATACCAGTCCAGGCATGAGCTCTAGAAAAAACCACATGCAGTTATTACATAAGTAGGTTTTCTGTGAGGAAATGAATGCAATATAATCTAACAAATCAGCTGCCCAATCCACTTGCACTTTCAATAACATTGTATTGTAAAATTAGCCAGAAATTTCTAATTAATCAATTCACTAATCATGCACATATTAGAATTCATTATTTTAAAACAAATGCAGCTGCTTTAGATTCTTATCTATTTCAGATGCAACCCAGTTAATTTCCCATTAAAAAACCACCACAATTTGCATATTCAAATGCTAAGTGTAGCCTCAAATGATTACAGAAGATGAAATTAGCCATTCAGTATTTTCTCGTTTGATTCCATCTGCAAGAACTGATATTACACTGTGATGCAAATTCCTCTTCTAATTCAGTGTATTACAACGGGTGGATGGAGAAGGGCAAACAAGTCAAAGTAACATTCTTAAGCATTTTTTCCTGCTCACCTAATAATTGTCAAGCAAATTATAAAGAGTTTGCTAAAAAAATAAAATGTGAAGGGAAGAATCTTTCCAAACTAACACATTTTATTAAAAGGTATAAAATTTCTGGAGCTACAACCCACTCCATCAGGTAGGCTAATATGGTTGTCCTCCTACAATGAAGGAAAGAAGGATAAATTGAAGCTTTTCTTTGGGAGTTGAAGAAGAATAATCCTGCTTCACATAATACTTTTTTAATGCTTTACACACAATCTGCCTCACTAAATATTCTATCTTCTTATGAGGGACAAATCTGCCTTTTCCAGGAGACAACTGTGTGCACATAAAGTGTTGTGTACATAGCATTGACATCACCTAAAAGAGGAATAGTGATCCTGGAATCCACAGGGAATTTGCACAGCTAAGCAACAGCAACCATATTCTTTCCCTCATTCCTTCGTTCTCATGGAAAAAAAATAAGAGATAGTATCACCTGGGATTGGCATTTTGTGTGCTTGTGCATTTCAGGTGGATTATCCAAATGAGATAAATCTCACAAAACTCATTGGAAAGATGAGTTCACACATTGCACTAAAGTATAATGTGATTTGTTTACATTTGTCTTAACAGGATGAATGAACTAAACACAATGAAACACAATGAAACAACTCACAACAAACCTAATGTTTTTGGCCACTGGATATTACACATTTATTTACCTAATTTCTATAACCGTCATTTCAACCAAGGGACTCTGGACAGTGAACAATTCTAAAACAAGAACAGTAGAAAATAAACAATACAGCAGCCAAAATATTATCATAATAAATGTCAGCAAAGCCAAGAATTGGTCCCCTTAAAACAGCCCTCCCCGCCGCCGCCCAGGTGAATGAATGTACCTTTATTAATTTAATTATTTTTTTTTCTTTCAGGAAAATCATGAATAAGACATAAGTACAGTCAGGTGGGTTTCTTTAAAACAATGAGTACTTAGTTACATAAATTTCCATTTGCAACTGAAGGTGGCATAGGTCAAGTATATTGCTGATTCTAGGTTAATACTAAACTACACCATTAGTCCAACAATTATCAGCTCTTTGAGATAAGTCAGGTCAAGAAATTAGGCATGGCAGGGATTCCAAGAATACTCTTAACTAAGTAAAGTAGTAAAATAAAATCCTAAAAGCCTATTGTAGCTGTTTTTTTCTGCCCTGTATTAAACTAAAACAAATCAGGATGGGGTTATTTGCAGTTTCTATCACACACTTCCTTCTTCCTTCAGGACTGTGTAATCTTTTCTGCAAGTCCACCATCCAGCCCCCTTAACCGCTTACTCACTCCTTCCCCTTTCCCCAAGGTCAACTCCACACTTCTTTACAATAAGCCACTTTTCGAAATCCATACTTGGAACCTGACTTATTTTAAAGCAGGAATCCAAGTTCAAATATAATGCAAAGTTAGGATTTTCTAAAAACACTGAACCAGGTCAGAGCATTTTTGTTTTCTAATTCAAAAGAAGAGTGGGGGTGAAAAGAATGCAGTATTTCTCTCTGTTTTTCAAGGTCATCACTGCATGGCTCAAACTTTGCTTACAAGTTTATTTTCCCTGTGGTATGATAAATAAGCCAGAGTGTCTTGCACCACATAATGGTAAGCAGTATAGAAGAGATAAGTGATCTTTTGGGAATTAGGCTTCCTTTTAATTCTTTTGGACTCCCTGGGCCACAGGCAATGATGTGCTGAGAATGCTGCTGTAGGTAGGGTTAAATTTTTCAACACTCTTTACAGGATTTTGAAGGGTGTCTGGATGGTAATAGCTGCAAAACAGTAAAAATTAATCTTTAAAAACAGGTGGTTATTTCCCCAGATTCTTTTACAGTATTGTTTTACAAATTAAAACTATATAAACACCCAAAGACCAAAAAAGGTGGTCAAAATCTTGGCCGTACTTTTTCTCCACAGTTGCACTCAGGCTGAAAAGGTGTCGTGAGGAGCTACATGCAGCCTGCAAATTGTCCACAACAAAGTGTATCAAGCACAGTAATTGTGTTTATGCATTGTCATGATGAAATAAACCTCATGATGGCTTAGCCAGAAGTGGCAAACCTGTCAGTCCTCAACTGACAACTAGAATTGGGACCAGAATTTCCATCGCTAAGGGAATGAGGCCGTAATGTGTGATGTCACGAGACGGCAGTCCCAGGATTGACACTGAAGTAAAGATTTGGGGGAGGGATGGGGTCTGCCGGCTAAGACTGCTGAAGGCCCCAGGTTTCTCCTTCGGCCCCAGCCTTGCTGCTGCTGCCATGGATTACCATTGTGCCAGACAACCAAAAGGGGGGGCAGATAGGTGGGTGACGGGAGTTAAACCACCCCTGTGTTAATTCATGAGGGGATTCTCTTAAGCACCTGAATGTTGATCACATGAAAGAGGAGCACTACAATGGCTGGAACTGGGGACCAACTGTAATATTTTTCAGCACCATGCATCTTTGAACTAGTCCCTAACAAAGGGTCATAAGTTGAAGACTACCTGTATGGATTTTGCTGTGATTTTTTAACCTGTATGTTGTGAATAAGAGCCATTAATAAACTACCCAAGTTCAACATATCTGATTTTTTAATCTACTTATCTACCTACCTACCTACCTACCTATTTATCTATCTATCTATTTATCTATCTATCTCCTTCTCTCACGTGCATTTTTAAGATCTGTCTATCTGTCCCATAGAGGGACTCTCGGCAGTGTACAAGTGAGAAATATTAAGACATAAAAAGAGTATGCAAAATGTACAAGACAGGGACGGGTTAAAAAAATATTGAAAGTTAATTAAAAGGCAGGGCAGGGCTTCAGGGCCCTAGCCAGCCCCATAGCTGTGTGCTCTTCTGGGAGCCTCCCGAAGGCCAGGAGAGTGGGAGCCTGTCCCACCTGTGTGGCACAGAGTCGGCAGCACGCTTCCCTTGCCTCACTGAGTGGGATGGGCTGATGTAATGGGATGGACACAGTTCCGTAAGAAACCTAGCCCACTGTTACATGGGGGGGGGGGGTTTAAAGATCATAATCAACACCTTGAATTAGACCTGGAAGCAAACTGGCACCCAATGCAACTCACACAACAAAGGTGTTATATGTGCCCTTCTTTAGGCACATGTGTGGTTGTATTCTGTACCAGCTGAAGCCTCTGGATACTTGCTTTAAAAATCACTTGCTATCCAGGTATTATCCAGGTATTTACTTTAAAATCACTTGCTAAGTAGAAGTGTGCTTGAAATAAGAATCTTGCTTCAGTTTAAGAACAAAATATGCTCACTTGAAGTGTGTGACAAGTTGGCTGTATTCTCTCAGAACAAACTCAAAACATCTCAAGAGTTTGTTATAACTTCAAAGCAACACTCCCAGAACATATGTAATTAGTTCTAAATTTGGAACACATGAAACACCCCGTTCTGAGACTGAACAGCTCATTTTTATGTCCCTTTCTATGACCAGAACATTGAAAATGCTGCCACTCATAATAACCAATCTCCCCTCCCCCGAGATTGAACAAAAGTATTTTTTTAATTTGAGTTCAAAACCAATTCTTGGAACACACAAGTTTTATTGCAAGACTGGAATATTCAAAGCAGACATTTCAAGCTTGAAATATTTTGGGTTCAAAAGGTTTAGTACAATTCTCCCCACTTCTATAATGACTTGCATAGATACAGTACATGATCAACTGAAATCATTATTTTCCCCTTTTTTTCTAATTTAATTTGCTAATGAGCAATCTGGCTTGCTTGCTTACTGTTCAGTATAATTTTTTTCTACTGAATCTTCACCTCACTATTTTCTAATACATTTATCTTAGCTTTCTTTTTAAATTATAAAACCCCTTAATTCCTCAGCCTCTCCATTATCCAGATATTTGCAATAATGCAAGACTGCTGTCCTAAGTAACTCCAGCCATATAGCTATTGTGTAAGAGTAGCACACTGGTTCAGCAACTATTGTAATGTACCCTTTAATCCCTGTCTAATCACTGGAAAAAAAAATCTGTCCCACAAGTTCTGGAAAGATACCTCACTTTATACACTGTGCTAAGTTACGTCTTTTAATTATTGCTTGTTAAATTGGTCACAGAGGATAGGTCTGTATATACTTCATATTAAATGCAAGCCGTGGTTTATCAATCACAATAGCTAAAAAGGTATTCAACCAATGTGCTCTTTCACAAATCAATGGTTTCAAGGTTTAATGATTATGATGGGACTGTTACTTGATGCCAATCCACTGTTGAGGCAAGCTTAAGATGAATGAAGATGATCCAGCAGGAAAGAAGTGGTTTTCACTAGAAAATGGAAGAAAACCTCTTATGTAAACTACTCCTTATGTAAAGAGGTAGCACCATTGCACTCATTTCACATGCAAGTTATGCTTAAAATCCTACACGCTAGACTCCAGCAGTATGTGGATCGAGAACTTCCAGAAGTACAGGGAGGATTTCAAAGAGGCAGAGGAACTAGAGATCAAATTGCCAACATATGCTGGATCATGGAGAAAGCTAGGGAGTTCCAGAAAAACATCTACTTCTGCTTCACTGACTATGCTAAAGCCTTTGATTGTGTGGATCACAACAAATTATGGCAAGTTCTTAAAGAGATGGGAGCACCAGACCATCTTATTTGTCTTTTGAGAAACCTATATGCAGGTCAAGAAGCATCAGTAAGAACTGGACACGTAACCACTGATTGGTTCAGAATTGGGAAAGGAGTCCAGCAAGGCTGTATTCTGTCGCCCTGCCTATTTAACTTACATGCAGAGCACATCATGAGAAAGGCAGGGCTGGATGAATCAAAAGTTGGAATTAAGATTGCTGGGAGAAATATCAACAACCTAAGACATGCAGATGATACCACTCTAATGGCAGAAAGTGAAGAGGAATTAAAGAGCTCTTGATGCAGGTGAAGAAGGAGACTGCAAAAGTTGGCTTGAAACTCAACATTAAGAAAACCAAGATCATGGCATCCGGCCCTCTCAATTCCTGGCAAATAGATGGGGAAGAAATGGAGGTAGTAACAGATTTTATTTTCCTGGGCTCCAAGATCACCACAGATGGGGACTGCAGCCAAGAAATTAAAAGACGCTTGCTCCTGGGGAGGAAAGCTATGGCAAATCTAGACAGCATACTAAAAAGCAGAGACATCACCCTGCCAACAAAAGTGCGTATAGTCCAGGCCATGGTTTTTCCAGTTGCAATGTATGGCTGTGAAAGTTGGACCATAAGAAAGGCTGAGCGCAAAGAATTGAGGCCTTTGAACTATGGTGCTGGAGAAGACTCCTGCGAGTCCCTTGGACTGCAAGGCGTTCAAACCGGTCAGTCCTAGAAGAGATCAACCCTGACTGCTCTTTAGAAGGCCAGATCCTGAAGTTGAAACTCAAATACTTTGGCCACCTAATGAGAAGGAAGGACTCACTGGAGAAGAGCCTAATGCTGGGAAAGATTGAGGGCAATAGAAGAAGGGGACGACAGAGAATGAGGTGGCTGGATGGAGTCACTGAAGCAGTAGGCGTGAGCTTAAATGGACTCCAGAAGATGGTAGAGGACAGGAAGGCCTGGAGGAACGTAGTCCATAGGGTCGCAATGGGTCAGACACGACTTTGCAACTAACAACAACAAAGCTTACATAAGAGGTTTGTGTAGGTTCTTTATGTCACATGGAGGAGTCATCTTCAGAAAGTGGACATCCTGCATGACTTCAACTGGCATCCTGCAGGAATTCTCTTTACAGGACTCTATACTTTGGTGCTATTTCTGATTTAGTTGCCAGAGAGAAGAATATTTCCCTAATCAAGGAACTACTAAAAAGCCACCCTACTGCCCACCAACATTGGCAGAATATTTATACAGTATATTTATATAAACAGGGAACAAACCTCACACTTGTTAGCACTGATGGTCTTACCTAGTCAGGTAATGAAATGTTTTCAAGCAAACAGCCATGCTCAGAAAGCACCATGGACACACTGTTCAACTCTGAACTACATATATTCCCTTCTAATGGTTCCTTTTGCCAGGTTGATCACCACTGTAGTAAGTCTGATGTTTTGCCAGTCTAGCTCCTTTAGAGTGCCTGGCAACATGGATGGCTGTTTCAAGGCCTGGAACGTAGCTCCCCTTTAATTGCCACACTTATCTGGATAGTGCAGATCGCAACTCAACATACAGGAAGTCCTTGACTTATGACTACAATTAAGCCCCAAATTTCCACTGCTAAGCAAGACAGCTGTTAAGTGAGTTTTGCCCCATTTTCATGAGCTTTCTTGCCACAATTGTTAAGTGAATCACTGCAGTTGTTAAATTATAACACGGTTGTTAAGTGAATCTGGCTTCCCCATTGACTTTGCTTGTCAGAAGGTCACAAAAGTGACCTTGGGATCCTGCAACCGTCATAAACATGAGCTAGTTGCCAAGCCTCCCAATTTTGGTCATGTAACCATGGGGATGCTACAACAGGTCATAAGGGTGAAAAGGGGTCACTTTTTCAGTGCTGTTGTAACTTTGAATGACCACTAAACGAATGATTTAAGTCAAGGACTACCTGTATTTGTACAAAAACAGAGCATACTAGGCAAAATGGCACCTTCTAAAAATTTTATTTTAATGAGGTTGCAGATCCCAAGCAACTCTTTGGACCCTATTCAGACTATTCCATACATACTTGTTGTCTGATGTGTTTGTGGACAGGAGGCAGGAAAAAAAAAAGCTTAGATTGAAAGACACAGCTACTATTTTAGATTTAATGAGTAAGTGTCACATGTTTAAGTTGTAGTGATATGTTAAGGTTTAAGAAATCAATATAAGGAACTAGCCTGAACAGTTCATCATAGTGAAATCACTTAATAGGAAATGTAGGTGCTGAGTACATGAGATTGAAAATGAGACAGGAAATGCATTACTAAAATTTTATCAGTGGAGAATTGTTTCTTCCCTGATTAGTTTCAGGGAAACTAAGCCAAGTACATACACATTATATCTTTATTTCATAAACTATGAATCATTTACATTCATATGATTTGGGGCTATTGGATACTTTTCCTTTGATGAAAATCTTCTTGAATGTCTAATCTGTGGGTTCCTAACAAAAAACAGAATAAGAATAATCAATGTAATATTGAATGGTTGATTAGTCTACAGCTGCAGTATTTCACCCAATCAGAAACATGACATTTTGAACTAAAGAGAGAAAAAGAGAGAGAAAAAAAAGCTGAGGATGGTTGAAATAATGAATTCAGAGGCTTTTGATATTCAAGAATGGGAGGCAAATCAGAAAGGAAGATAGGGAAGGAAGCTGTGAAACATCTTCTATCTCATGTAGTGAATAATTCATATCATTAAACTCCAGCCTAAAAATAGACAAAATAAACAGCGTTTAACATAAAATATAAAAGCATGACCAAGAGAAATTGTTGTATTTCAGATTGGATTATTACCACTGTACTGTGTCTCAGATTTTCAACAGCTTTTACAAAACAAAACGAAACAACAATAACAAAAAAATTCTGGAAAAATCTTCATAGAGCAGATGTCCAAAAATATTCTGCATTTTTAAAAGGTCTTTAACACAGAACCAATGAGGTGAGACTGATAAACTTCTTCTTTTTTCCATGCCTGAGAAGCGCTACAAATGCCCCATTGAATTCTTAAAGGAAAAGCAGGGCATAAATCTAATTAATAAAATAAATAACATGTTGAAGGATCAAAATCAGAAGATAGTCAAACGAATCTGAATTCAGGAGGGAGGGCAATCTCATTCCTACTAACGTTCATTTCTATCCCAGGACATCTGTTTTGAAACCACTGGATGTAATTACATCCAACTGAAGAAGAAAAACAGTGGGGAGAAAAGAACATGCTAATATTTTAGGAACTTTCTGGATAACAGACGGTTGAAGGCTCTCAGGAATTATATACCTTCAATTTGGTTTTTCATATAAATGTCTAATTGGAGTCTTAATGTGGTTTTGCATATACAAAAATG